AATAGTGACGAATAGTCGTCAATAGTCACCGCTTTAGATCTAATATCCTGCGTTAATTAATTATCCAAATTAGCAACAGAATTTCAGTGAATTTATTACCTTTTCATCTCCGGACTCAAGCTAGTAGGCTGTCCATCGCCGACATTAAGAAAACAGAAAACACAAGGATAACCTCATAAAGATGTATTTACGCTTTTGCAGCGGTTAAAACAGAAGAAGTTACGTTTAGAAACACCTTTTGTCCCGATAAGCGTCTGTGCTTTTTAGCGGGAAAATCCCATCCTACGTTGCTACGAGGTTGACTGCGAGGTATTGGGTACCCTATTTGCTACCATTTGCCACTATTTGCCACTAGTCGCACTATTCGAGACTATTCGCACTATTCGCACTATTCACTACTCGCTATTCTGGACTATTCGCTATTCGCTATTCGGGTTTTCCAGACACCCCTTCCTGTGTATCTCCTTACTTCTCCCAAGAGCAAACAGCGTAAAATTCCCAATGAGGACCGAACGTGTTGGCAAGCACGTGCTATAACGATGACGTCAAGCTATCAGCGCCTCTAATTGGTTCAAAAAATAGAGCTAAATTAGGAGCCAATCACTCTTGAGCACGTCAGTGGTTTTGATTTACTAACTGGTTGCTTGGGCCGTAAAGCTTGTAATTGTCTGAACGATCGATAGGAATGTCATTTGAGATCATTGTTTTCTCGCAAGCAAATTGAACCTGGTAACGACGTTTTACTGCAAAGGTAGGGAATCAGTTAGTTACAACAAAACGTAGAAATACGATGGCTTTTGCATGTCGCATGACATAAGGCATAAACGTTACTTGTAAAGGGAGGTTCAAACGGAAGCAGATGAGTTGAAGACTGAATCTGACTGAAAGTGCGTTATTTCTGCCTTTAAATCACCAATTTGCTATCAAAGGTTGCCAGCAGCTAAGCAATCTAACTTCGATAAACTAAGTTAGGTATTTCTGGGCTTAGTCTGGAATGAGCACATCTCAAAACTACGAGTTGTATTGGTTCGCATTCATCAATACCACATGGTGATGTGACCTTAAAACATGCGTCGACATCTTAATAAAGTTTCCTTGGCTAAACATTTGAAAATACTTGTTAACTTTTAGAGATGATTCGGTAGGGAAATGAAGAAATAGAACATATAAGCTGTTGAACAATCAGTCTCTTTCCCAGAAATCAGTCCAAGCATGACGTCGTTTCTAAGAAACGCAGCGATTCCAGTCTGCAATTGCAAATTAGACAAGAGTAAATAGAATAGTTTTGACTCATGAAAAGGCATTACAGCTTCTGACCTACGTAACGAAAATTCGACGGTCATGTTATAAAGAAATTTGAATTACTCTCAACTTTGTTGTCGCAAAATGTTGATGGGCGACGCACCCAGCTTGAAGTACATTGCAATTTAGCTACAGTTGACCTGTTCAAAATAATTATACTTTAAGTATTTTTTTAGATAACAGACACAACTAACTATATTTGGAGACATAATACAGTTATTTGTAAACGGACGGAAAGCTCGGTTGACTTCGTCCTCGTCCCTTTATTTAACAACTATAGTGTTAACAACAAATTGAGTCAACTTTTCGTGACCAAAATGACAGCTCTTAGACTGAGACTGTTGGAGGTTGAGGTTGAAATGTCTTAAAATGTCTAGGAACTGTGTCAAAAATGGGATTACACAAGTAGCGAGATTGTCGAGTCAGATATTGAATTAATCACGTTAAATAATCTCCCCTTCTTCCACATTACTCCCTCACTTAAATAATGATGCCTGCCCATGTTGATGGCCATGCCATAATCTTCACTGGGAATGCTATTTCTTTGCTGTAATATGCATTAACCACCGCAGTCTAGTTGTAACCAAGACCGTTGTAGTGCAAAAAGACTTTAATTTGTAGTATCACCTGCTGATATCGTTAATTTATTCCCTTCAGTTGTGTTTGGTGCCACGATCATGATTGTTCACAGCTAGGTAAACAGCAAATTCAGCTGTAAAGGCTTGTTTTCTTTTATAGCTCATAAGCAACACACGCAGATATAGCGCGATAATTTAAGCGCCCTAGGAACATTTCCTGCATGTCAAGAGTCATACTTAACAGCGCCTTACCGCTGTCATGGTATGCTGCAGAGGTTAATATGCTGCAAATTGGACATGTTTCCAAATTATCATGAAACCAAAAGAGAAAATGTGGAACAATAAGATGTGATTTGCTAAAGTTTCAACCAAGAGATCCGCTCTCGAAAGAGGCTTTCTTGTTTCAACACATTGTCACTCAAAAGCACAGGCTGCTTGTCTACTGTTAACGCTTTGGTCGTCAGGCTCCTTTTATACTGAGACTCCTTGTCTAGAAAAGTGTAAGCGTTCCGAAAATATATCAATTTTGTCGTAATTTCAACTATTAAACCCCATATATCTTTCATTTAAACATCAAATGGTGATTTGAATCATCCTAAATTGATTTAAGAGAACGTGACCCTTAAGAAAGAGTTTATATCAATGATATCTATACTTTAAAAGCATCCAAAACTGAATACAAACGAAAACTCAAATTGAAACGGTAATTTGCTATTCCAGGTTTAGTAAGTGATTGCATCATTTGGTTTTCTTTCGAAATGCAATTATTTTTAAAATAAATTTCGCAAACTTTTCTTCATCCTAAATTTTGTTTCAAGGATGCTTTTTACAACAGATCTGAAAGACTTGTTTTCAGTATTATTAAAGCTTGGGTAATCATTTAATTCATAGAAAGTTTATGGGTTTGTAATGGTCGGCACCTGAACTGAAACCCTTCCCCCGAAAACAGTAAACAATTTTATATGATGATTTATCAAGCTTTGAACTAAATGAACAAATGATTTGGGAAGGCCTGGCGGCCCGGGGGAACTTGATAACTTAATTAAATTGATGGGCCTGAACTAAACGTACACTGAATAAGGAAAACAGCGACTTGTCATAAGTGATGACACAGGATACATTGTTTTAACAGCTTTCCTAATCCCCTCTGACCAAGAATGAATGAATGATCAAAACTGAACTGAATGATCAAA